TATATACAGTACAGAAAAACTGCTTTACACTGAATAACAAATTGTACAGTGATACAAGGCTAACGCTGAGATCGTCGGATACCTTTCTTCTCTCTCTTTCACTCTGTCTCTTTCTCTCTCTCCACTCGCTTTCAATTATTAACCTTTTTTTTCTTTTTTTTTTTTTTTTTTTTTCACTTTTTTTTGAACACTATTAACACGCCCGCGCCGATAATGAACCTTTTTCTGTCTCGAGCAGATACAATCTACGAAACATGTGAAACATTTCTGGGAACTCCCTTCAACCGGAAGCGCATCTTGCAAATTCAATGCTTGTGACAAAGAAAACCATTGAATCAGAATATTTCCAAAAATGTTCCAATTATTCGTCGTGATTAGAATGTAACCACCGCGTTACTTCTAGATAACGTATAATTGTTTCGTTCTGCGAAAACAGTTCTGGCGAAATACATAGACGGTACCGTCGAGAAATTTGGCGAAGCAATCAAACTCACTTAAAACGAAATCATCGACAAAATTTCTTTCATGTACGATTTCGCGAGAATGGACTTGATATACATATGCGATGTCCGTGTATATAATATAATTCAAGACAGGAAACAACATCATCTATTTGTTTTTTCTTTTTTTTTTTTTCTTTTTCCTTTCCTGTTAAATTGATTTTACATTTTCCATCACTTCAACCAAATCTATGTCATTGATACAATATAGGCTGAGAACGCGATGTGCAAGAATGATACACTTGTTCCTGGAACTCTATTACGTTCGATTAGGATTTTGTGCCCATTTGCAGAAAAGAAAAAAACACATTTACGTCACACAGTACACAGGCTATCAGTTCATGAATAAATGCAACGAGCCTGTTATCGAAGCGAAATAAGCATGTCTCCTTTTTCTTTTCATTAATGGTTATAGAACGTTTAAATAAATGAGAACAAAAAGATTGTACACGTGTCCAGTTTTGTCGATCACTATTTGATTTGGTACTTACAAATTCAACAAAGAATATAATACATTATCGCCTTGCATAGTGATATTTATACATTTTCCCTTGGGTCTTTTCTTCTTTCATTTTTCCCCTTTCATTTCATAACAGAATTAGTTGAAATCGTGTGTCCTGAATGTAATGTCGTTTTTCGCGGCGTAGCTGCCATTTTGCTACGATAATTTATGGTCCTATTTCCTTTCAAGTATTTCTGTGCTAATCTCTGTGAACCTTAACAGTCATGGCCATTTGAACCGGTCAATGGCACAGGCTGATACTGCACTCTACTAACTTTAAGGCGATGGAGCACCTGATTTTCAAATAGTTTCTCTCACACATTGAAACGAAATACCTCGAAGAAACATCATCTATCTTAATGTAAAGATAAAATTATTGCCATTTATCGTACGTGTGACACAATGCAATAAGATCTCCCGATTAAAAGCGAATTAGTCATAGTATGATGATTCATATTAAAAGTGGATATAAATTTCTATATTATTTCAGATGTTTCAGGAGGTGAGACTGATTGTTCTAACAATAAGAGAAATTTTCTGTATTTGTAAAGGAAAAAGTGAAACATCTAACTTTTATGTTTATAAAGATTGTATAAAATGATTCGTGTAAAATTAATCGTAAAAATAGATCGTAATACTTTATCTTATATTTTAATGTATTATTAAAAAAGAAAGTATATATTGAGCATATCGACGATGTTTTTTTCGAGATATATTTCAACGTGCATTAATGATTTTCATACGTGTTAAATATTTAAATTTATTATTCAATTGAAAGCTGTACCCCCAGCTGCATTATATTATATTGTTAAACAAAATGAAAAACATTCATAGTGCTTACATTTTCTGTTTTCATACGTAACTTTAAGGGGGGAAAAAAGACAATAACAAAAATCGCCAATCTTAATTTGTTAATAACGGTTAGCTTCTGATTAATAGTAGTAGTAGTAGTAATAATAATAATAGTAAAAATAATAATGATGATGAT